TAAAAAAGAGAATTTTTAAATAGTTGATTTGATATATTTTTTTCAAATTTTTATGATATCTTCAAATTTTTATTTTATTCAAAAATAAAATCATTATTGCTTTCTTAAATCTATACTATATTATAAAGCATTTGACAAAAACTCTTAAAACCCACTTTTTATGCATAAAGTATTGTTTATTAATGCATATTACTTAAAACTCAAGATTGCAAGTAGATTGTGTGTAAGTACAAATTATTAAAGCTCCATATCCGAATTCGTGTAACTAACTGCAGATAAACATAATCAAATACAAGATAAACATCTCATTTTAAATATAAAAAATCTAAAATATAATTAGGATAATCATTGAGTTTTAACAGAATACTTAATTATTATCCTTATAAATTGTTATATTATTAAACCAAAAATAAATTATTTCGTTATTAAACTTAAATTAAATTATAATAAAAAAATTAAGAAATTACATAAAAATGAGAACTTTTAAATAGTTGATTTGATATTAACATTGATATGATTTTTTTTTTTAATTTTTATGATATCTTCAAAATTTTATTTATTAAAAAATAAAATCATTATTGCTTTCTTAAAAACACATAAAATCGTATTATAACATCGGCAGAGACAAATAATAAAATAAAACATTAAAATCGAGATATGTCTCGCTGCATTGCGCGAGTACTCTTCTAATATATATTAAATATCAATAATTATCGATTTTTATCCATTTTCACCTTGAAATCATTAGCCATTTTACAATGACATATCAAATTAAATTTCATGTGCCTAAATCTCATATGTGAACATGTGGATCCTAACATAAGTTCACATGCAAATCTTAATAATAAATTGTTTGTGAATCAATTTAAAATTTTTAACCGAGATTTTAAATTAGTTGATGATTTAACATGTGAATCTCAACTGTAACTTGTACGTCAGTCAATTTACAAAATATAAACGGATTCTGAATCAATTTAACATTCATTCATGAATCTCAAAGAATATATTTATCATCATAAATCTTAATTTAAAATATCGATTATATTTTAGATAATTTAATTTAAAATAAAATGGGTAATCTGATTATTATTTAAAAAAAAGTAGGTAATGTTTTTGAGAAATGAGTGGATTAGTGATTTAATTATAAATAAGTTTTAAAATTCTCCTTAACTTTCTTAGATTGTTTAAATTACTCATAATTTTTTTTCTTTCTATATTTACATTTTTTTTTTTCTTATATCTTAACCATTGAAAAAAATATCATATAATGTTTAAGTTTATATATATATATATATATATATATATATGGGGAAAGATTCATCCTAGCCCTTCATTCATCTGGTCAAACATTTGCGACTTTGACCGTGAAGCACCAGATAATTCCTTGCATGAGTATGCGGAATATAGAGGGATAGTTTTGTAACTTTTACAAAAAACGAGTTTATATGTGAACCCGTTAATTAGTGTACATGTGAAATATTTAACTGATTCATATATGAACTAACAGGTTCATATGTGAATAACACGGGTTTATATGTGAATCCCTTAATTATTTCTTATGTGAATCATTTAAAAATATTTCATACGTGAATTACACGGGTTCACATATGAACATATAGTTTATATGAGAATCACGTAGGTTCCTATATGAACCCGTTTGCCGTCTATTTGTAGAAGTTAAAAAACTAACCATCTATTTTTCGCATAGCCGTAATTTTTGACCAGTCAAAGCCGTAATTATTGACCAGTCAAAGCCGTAATTAATGACCAGTCAAATTCGATCTTGATCATGTGAAGTATTAGGATAACTTATTTACTTCTCAAAATAACCTCTGGCTATATATAGTACTTCTTTTGAGAACCTATGAAATTGTGATAACCTTGAGAAATTGTGCATCATGTGTTATTTCATATGATTTTTTTTCCATCCAAGACTAAGATTTAGAATATTGATTAACATATATTTGTTTCACAATGTGTTCGTTTCACATGTACTCGGTTCATAATGTGAACATTATTGTTGTGTTTGTGAAATAAAAAATACACGTAAATTTTTTTCATACTGTAAATATATGAAACAACCACATTAAGATTGAAGTTCTTACGGATCTCACAAATTTTAAAGTTCTCAAATGATTATGCACCTTAGCCACTTCCAGCTTCCCCACTTCCGCATGATATATATATATATATATATATAGAGAGAGAGAGAGAGAGAGAGAGAGAGAAAACATGTTTTGAATACAACTCATCCTATTTGTACAACCAACACTACCTTGATGTAACTCATTTATTTTATTTAATCTTATTTTCCATCTTTTTTTAATTGATAATCTATAACTATGTTTTCCACCTTATCAAATGCTGACCGTAGATAAATTAATTAATGATTAAAATGAGGTTGTATTGCTTGTATAAACGGAATGAGGTTGTATTGCTTGTACATCGTCAAAGTCACTGAAAACAAGAATATCTATATCACATGATTTTATACTAAAAATTACATATGATTAAGAGAAGGTCAAACCTCCAAGGTAACCGAGCCATGCGAATGCGTGCACGCCCCTTGGTTGACCGTCCATTAATCACGTGTGATTTTTAAGATAAAATTGCATACGATATAGGCATTTTCGTTTATCTTACTTTCATATGTTCTCTTTTAAACCTAATCCTATAATATATATGTGTGTGTATATATATATATATATATATATATATATATATATATATACGAGCCCATTCAAGGGAGAACTGATTAGTTTGTGCTAACTGTGAGATCCAATCTCAACCACAAATTAACGGATACATTAGAAAATTAATAATTATGGTAGTTTGGGTTAAAATTATAATTAGAGGGCTTTTTAGGTATTTTTAAAAAACTCCTCTCTCCTCTCTCATCTCTCCGACATCCAATCTCCGGCCTCCGGTGAACATTAATCTGGCAGGTACCAAGTAATCACAAAGATACACAATGTGATACCCGTTGTGATATATTGTGATACCATTGTGATACCAACTATGATACCAACTCAAACCTTAAAAACAAAAATACACAATGTGATACATATTGTAATACACAATGTGATACCTATTGTGATATACTGTGATAGCGATTTTACCGGAGGCCGGAGAGAGGTCAGAGAGATGAGAGAGGAGAGAGAAGTTTTTTTTAAAGTACCTAATATGTCTTCTAATTATAATTTTAACTCAAATTATCATAATTATTGATTTCCTAATTTATCTGTTGATTTGTGGTTGAGATTGGACCTCACAGTTACCACAAACTAATCAGTTCTCATTTGATTAGGCCCATATATATATATATATATATATATATATCATCAAATACCACCCTCTTAAATGTTGCAACCAATGCAACTTCATCTACACTATACAAAAAACGAAATACTCCTTAAAAGGAGGATGATCTACGGTTAGGATGAAATTTCATTGGGTTGCATTGGTTGTAACATTTGAAAGTGTTGCATTAGAAGTGTGTGTGTGTGTATATATATACACACATATATACGTGGGACAAAGGATCGTGTGAAAATAAGGGTTAAGATGAGAAATGTCAAAGATGATCTGGACCTTCATCACTTCTAATCTCATACCTACCCATGAATTGCGCTTATCACGGGAATTGACCTCGTACATCTTGGCGCACCACATTATTGTTCTTCAATTATGATTGATCCAAAGGTGAAATCATTTCTTTACCTTCTAATTATAACTTTCATTCTCACTGGAACCCAACCTTATACGTGGAGGTTCAAATAAGAACACCTCCATTTCATGAAAACGCAAAAACAATCTTTTTACTATAAAAAAATGACATGTGATAATACTAGTGGCGTGCGAACAACTTAGCCCGTGACCTAGGGTTGCGCCAATGATCATTGACGTCCGATTCATTATCACATGTGATTTTCTACAATAAAAATATATATTTACATTTTCACAAAATGATGGTGTTTCCATTTAATCAATTAGGTTCCAATGTAAAATAAAGTTAAAGTAAGAAATGTAAGAACTGATCTCCACACTTAGATTCACATTAGAATGAGACACACCAGATTCGTCCTCATATCAAACACGATTCATTGGTAGATTTGAAATTAAAGATGATCAAGATTCAAAAGTCCAAATCCCTTCTTACGTTTCTCATCTTAACGTTTTTCCTCACACGATATTTTGCCTTCCCTTTATATATATATATATATATATATATATATATATATATATATATATGATTGAGTTCACGTGAGACCAAGAGTTTTTCGTGAGACTCGTAAGATTAATTTATGTTCATTGATTAACTTTATAAGCTAATGATCTAAAAGTCTAAAGTTACACGGTGACAATTTTGTGATTAATGAGAACTCTCGTGGAAATTTTGTGATTGTGAATGTTCAGATTGTAAATCTAATCTAAGAGTTGAAGATTGATCTTACGGGTCTTACGAAAAACCTTTAATCTCACGTGATCTCAAGTCTCTATATATATATATATATATATATATATATATGAAAAATAAAAATAGGGAAGTTATCTATCTGTGCCATTTACTGACAGATAAACCAAAGTGACCCTTGTGGTGGTCTCTGAAACTTTTCTTAAACAAGCAGATAAAGGGAAGAAAATAATAATAATACCAAAAGATTCCCCAGCTATATAAAGTTTTTTTTATTATTTTTATTTATTTTTACATATATATATATATATATATATATATTTAATAAAATATATAATAATATCCATCTTTATTACTGCCACTACTCCTTCTGCCTCTCTACCTCTTGTTGTGTTTTTAGAAATTTTTATTTTTATTTATTTTTTATTTTTTTCCTTTTTCTGGGTGTGAGATTGACAGGCAGATCAGATCCCCACCGAAATAAATTAATAAATTCACCATACATCCAATCTTACATAAAACCCTCAAGAATTCACCATCTTTTTTGTTTGGTTCATCTTTTTTTTTTCAAATTTCATCTCTAGTAATTGCCTACAGTGTCTTCTCCTTCGGATGATGCTGCAGGGAGAAGGAATTGCCGACTCCGGCGACGCTGATGCCTCTGCCTCCGCCTCCGCCGCCGCCGCTGCTGAACTTGCTGCTGCCGGATTCAGTGAAGAAGAAAGGGCAAGAATCGAAGAGGGTGGACGAAATTCCGGCGGAAACCGGTGGCCCAGACAGGAAACTTTAGCTCTGCTTAAAATCCGGTCGGATATGGATGTTGCTTTTCGTGATTCAAGCCTCAAAGGTCCATTATGGGATGAGGTTTCAAGGTAAATTCAATTCCCCCTTTTTTGGTCGACTTCAATTTTGCCATCATCAATCGTGGTTCGAGATCTATGAATCAACTTCTGTAATCAATTCGAAAGCTCGTATCTTTTTCCGGCGGACCAAACCCAGTTGCTACAGCATTTCTCCGATGAATTCTGGCGAATTTGAATTTGAATTTGAATTCCAATTCGAATCCCATTTGTGTTTTTGTCTTCATCTATTTAGATTTATCTACTTCTTATCTCTTTCAAACTTGAGCCGGATTCTTGCAAGTGTTTCCCATGTATTTAATTAACTAATTGTTATTAATTAAATTCAGAAAGAAATCGCTGTGTGTGTTTGTGTGTGTGTTTTGATGGGTGTTGATTGGATTTGCTTCTTGTTATCAGAAAATTAGCTGAGCTTGGATATCATCGAAGTGCAAAGAAATGTAAAGAGAAGTTCGAGAATGTTTACAAGTACCATAAGAGAACTAAAGAAGGACGGACTTCCAAAGCCGACGGCAAAACCTACAGATTTTTTGATCAATTACAAGCTTTGGAAGCCAACCCCGGCGGAGGAAGCCACCAGCAACCACCGCCACCGCCGCCGTTATCTCTTCCTCCTTCAAAGCCACCGGCAATGCTGAATACTAGTCAGATTCCATCGACTACTGTTCCATCTGTTGTAACTCCGATCAATATCACGCATCAGAACAACGTCGATCCAATCTCGGTTGCAGCTCCGGCGGGGGCAATGAACATTAATCATCATGTCGTAGGTGGGTTTCCGTTTTCGCATCCGAATATGTTGTCGGCGTCCACGAATTCGACGTCTTCATCGACTTCTTCCGATGATGAGCCGCCGGAGAGGAGAAGGAATCGGAAACGGAAGTGGAAGGATTTCTTCGGGAGATTGATGAAGGAGGTGATTGATAAACAAGAGGAATTACAATCGAAGTTTCTTGATACGTTGGAGAGACGTGAACGTGATCGGATGGCGCGAGAAGAAGCTTGGAGGATCCAAGAAATGGCGAAGATGAAACGAGAACATGATCTTTTGGTTCAAGAAAGATCAATGGTCGCTGCTAAAGATGCGGCGGTCATCACCTTCTTGCAGAAGATCACCGAACAAAACCCAAATGCTGCAATCCTGCAAATACCAGCTATGCAATTACTCCAACAACAACCACCATTACCGCCGCCCCCGCCACCACCATCGCAGCAAATGCCACCAATGCAACAGCAACCACAACCGCAACAGCAACAGCAACAGCAACGGCAACAGCAAGTAGGGCCATCTCAACATCAAGTTCAAACAATGCCAATTGCAGTACCAGTACAAGTGCCAGTGCCAGTGCCAGTATCAGTATCCGTATCAGAACCTGCTCCACAAACATCGACGGTGAAGAATCTGGATAACGGCGGCGGAGGAGAGAACCTGCTACAACCAAGTCCATCAAGATGGCCAAAAGCAGAAATTAACGCACTGATAAAACTCCGAACGACTCTCGACACAAAGTATCAAGAAAGCGGGCCAAAAGGACCATTGTGGGAGGAAATATCGTCGGCGATGAGGAAGCTCGGATACAACCGGAATGCGAAAAGATGCAAAGAGAAATGGGAGAACATCAACAAGTACTACAAAAAGGTGAAGGAAAGCAGCAAGAAACGTCCAGAGGACTCAAAGACTTGCCCTTATTTCCACCAGCTCGATGCCATTTACAGAGAGAAAGCTAGCATAAAATTACCCGAAACCCAGATGGCTCCAATAATGGCTCGACCGGAGCAGCAATGGCCACTTCCGGCGACGGCGGTGGTGGTCCAAGAGCAGCAGCACCTCCATCAACAACCACCGCAACAACAGTCCAGAACGAATGAATCTAGAGATCAGAATGCCGAGGAGGATTACGACGATGAAGAAGATGATGACGAGGAGGAAGAAGAAGAAGAAGGTGGTGGTGGCGGTGAGTACGAGATTTTTCCAAACAAGACATCATCAATGGCTGCAGTTGAATGATGGAAATTTATAAGACAATCGAATCGAACAGCATTGAGGTGCACTGCAAAATGTGGGTCATGAGTTGCAGAAGTTGTCCGATGGGTACGCGGGTCGGGTTGCGGGTTGATTATGGAAGCTTGAATCACCAACCACATGGGGTGGGGGGTGG